GCGTCCTGGGAAGGAGCCCTGCATTAGGAGCCCTGCTGAGCAAAGCAGAGAGCCTGCTTCTCGCTCTCCCCCTGCTTGTGTGGGCACTCACGCGTGCGTTCTCTCTCTCTCTCTCAAATAAAATCTTAAAAAACTATATCTACAAGTCAAAATAAATTACTATGTCAGGAAAATATAATTTGGAAAATTCAACACTGAGATACATCCTGCTTAAGTTATAAAATTTCAAAAATAAAGCACTCAATCAAGAAAACTCCAGGGACGAAATAAATGCAGTTTACTTTGTAACCATATTACCTAATTACAAATCATGATCTGGTTAAAGCAAATAATTGAGCAATGACATTACATAGGACTAGATTAATACACAGGAGAAGTCGTAAACTGGTATGTTTGTTTCACCTGCTCAGCTGTTTTTTAATGTGAATTGTCACATATGAAAACTGATGTATGCACTTGCATCCGTAGTATCCGTGTTTGGAAAATTCAAATTCAGAACTCAATAATCTGGTGTTACTGCCTTATTTCTCAAATGAAGACTTTTGATATTACTTCTAAACAGATTTGAGAGAGCGAATCTCAAGCAGCTGAGTGGGGCTCAATCCGAGGACCCATGAGACCATGACCTGGGTGGAAACCAAGAGTCTCACAGTTAATGGACTGAGCCACTCCAGTGCCCCATAAACATGCTAATTTTCTAATGATTCAAACCTCCTTTTGATCCTACTAGGGTATTTTATCTGAAAAGTCAAAATTTCTTAAAAAAAAAAAACAGTTAAAAAAAAAAAGCACCTTGAGCCCTTCTGAAAAATCTGCTTATAGAGAAACCCAGTCAATTAAGTCATAGCTCAGGTGGTAATGCATAGGCGGTGCTTCTAAGTGGTAAGTGTCTGACTAGTGGGTTTCAGCTCAGGTCACGATCCCAGAGTCCTGGGCTCCACCATGCTAAGTGGGGAGTCTGCTTGATATGCTTTTCCTCTCCCTCTGTCCTCCCTGCACCCCCGCTCCCCCTCTTTCTCGCTCTGTCTAAAAATAAATCTTAGAAAATTAAAATTCATAGGAAACAAGTTGTACAGCTATGCTTAATAAACAGACAATATGTGTTACACGCTTTTAGTGAGAAAGTTACCCAAATTAGGAAAGGTAGAGGAGGGATGCCTGGGTGGCTCAGCAGTTGAGCATCTGCCTTTGGCTCAGGGCATGATCTGGGAAGAAGTCCCACATCAGGCTCCCTGCATGAAGCCTGCTTCTCCCTCTGCCTGTGTCTGTGTCTCTGCCTCTCTCTCTCTCTCTCTCTCTCTCTCATGAATAAATAAATAAAATATTAAAAAAAAAAGAGGGGCTTGGGGAACTGATACAAGAATATGTTGATACTCTGGCTATTACAATTGCTGTGAATAAAAAAAATCATTTTTTCTCACCCAGGGACCTCATGGTTTCTGCCACCATCCATGGAACTGTGGTAGACTGGTAGGATAAAGTCATAAACCCCTCACAGTTATTGACATTATGCACTTTCTGTTAACATTATGTCATTAGATCTTATCAATGGCCCCATAGAGTTCAGCAAAACTGCATGGTACATGTGAAATATTCCACAAATGGTAATTATTATTGTCTTCATCATCATTAATCCTTGCAACAATCCTGTAAACTTGGAATCAATACCATCATTTTATAGCTGACAGGTTAATTAACCTGCCAAGAGTAGGTTAGTCACACAAATGGAGGGACTACAATTTTAATCCTTTCCATTTTTACTATTTTATCTCACAGCTTTAAAACTATGAACTCATTTGGCAAAGCTGAAAGCTTTATATTACATTGCAACAACTTACTTTTTCTTTAAATATGTATCCAATACCTTCTATGTTTCAGACACTTTGCTAGTTCTAGGGAAATAGTAAATAAAATACGCTGTCTTCATGAAGCTTATAGAGAAAACATGGCAAAACAAGGAAATAAAACAATGTAACAAATTCCCTAATAACTAGCTAATGAAAGAATTATTAACTCTTATAAATGCTATGATAGAAGCAAACAAGGGTGTGAGAAATGGAGCAACTGGAGGACACACTTTTCAAACTACAGGTTGTCAGTTGGGAATAAATTCAGTGAGTCACAACCAGGATCTTTTGAAAAATGTAGTATGGAAAAGAATGGACACACATTATAAGGAAACTATTGTTTTGTGAAACTTCCATCTTGCACAAAGGGTCATGATACAAAATCATTTCCTTTAGGCACTGGGAATAATCTATGCAACGGGAATGGAAAGACCTTGCTTTGTTAGAAAAACAAAATTTAAATTAGTGTGGCTAGGATCCTGCAGAACGGAAGAATAGGATGGTATTAATGGAGGTTGGAAAGAAAGATGTTAAGGTTCTGGTAGAAAGTTTGTGCAATGTAGTTTTAAATAGATAAGTGATATGATTTGATTTACATGTGAGAAGTCACTTTACTTGCTTTAAAGAGAATGGATTTGAGGGATGGCAAGGATGGCAATCCATTAGAATGCTGTTGTAAGCCAGTGACGTAGGTTGCGTGGTTTGGGATAAGGGGCCAGGAAGGGCAACAGGGATGGAAAAGAATGGATAGATTCAAGATATTATTTTGAAGATAGAGTCCAAAGAACTTGCTGAAGTGAGGCCCAAGAGGCATACTCTAAATTTCAGTCATATTCGAATATTGTGGTTCCATACCACATATACTATGATCTCCCATGGGTCTGTTGTCCACACATATGATGTTCTTGGAATACCCTACCACTCCCCTAGCTCTCACCCTTTTACCTTGGTACACTCCTATCCATCCTCTCTTCAGGACTGAGGTCCCATGTTACCTTTTCCACAAAACATTCCCTGACATCTGGAAGCTGTCTCCTCCATATTCCCTTAGCACTTCACACATTTCTAATACACTGGTTACAGACTGTACTTCAATTAGCTGTTTATACATGCGTTTCCCCAAGTTAGTCCAGAGCCCTGTTAGGGCAGAAGCTATATCCTAGCTTCTAGAATTGAATTCTATTCACTTACAACCCTGGGACTGATGATAGTATTTTTTAAAAAATGTAGATTCGTCATCAAAATTTGCTGAATGTTGTGCCATTTCATGTAATACATTCCTTCATTCCTAAACTAGCAAAAGATCCTCATTCATAAACATATGTATCACACATATTTTTATTTAACCTCATCTCCGATCATCCCTCAATGACTCCATGTTTGGAGAAATATGCATTTGCTTAGTTTATGTTGCTATACAAATCTGTTAGATTGTTTAATGATCAGACTGTGCTTCTTGCCTTCATAAACTACACAGCACAGCATACATGAAAAAGACTGACTTTGAAGTTAGATCCCTGTTCATAATCCAACTCTTCAATTCATTAACCATGTGCAGACCCCGGCCTTGGGTAGGTTTTTAATCTCTCTGAATCTCAGTTTGCTCAACTGGACAAGGTTAATAATTCTCTGTCATAAGGTCATCACGAGGCTTAGATGTGAATGTAATTAGCAGAAATACACTACATATTAGTTCCTGTTTCTCCAACTTACCTTCTTTACAAGAAAGAATACAGCCTTTGCAAAACTAAACAGAAAATGTTTCTGGTTGGCCTTATCTTGACCTACCGGTTGAGGATGGAAACCATCTTGAACTTCTCCCTACCCAAACACAGCTTGAACACTGAGGTCCAAAACTACCCACCCTGGATACAGCCTACTGTCTACATCAGTATGACTGTATTGTTTCCTTGTCTTCATTAGCATCACTTTACTATTCTAGGAGACTCCTGCCCAAATAGCTTGATTGTTGATTACAGGAACTTCTTTCTCCCAATCTTATAACTATTAAGATCAGTATCCAATCCTAATCAAGCCATCTCCTCCACTCCTCTGCCCCTCACCCTCTGCCACTGAAAGACTAGCTTTAAACTAATACATCAAATTCTCAAGAAAAATCTGACCTTGCCTTCCCAGACGATACCACCAAAAACTCTGCTGAAGTGTTCTTTCTTACTCCAGTAAACCATAAACTCAGCCTTGTCCTATCAGAAGGTCCCACGGTGGTACCTGAGAAGCCGCCACTGGACAGGGCAGTACATCTTTAAGCATAAAGGCAGAGGAATTTTCTCATAAAAGTCCAGAAATATCATAAAAATGAACTGAGGAAAATTATATGCCAGGCAAAATACGTCCACTGATAAAAAAGAAATGGGTTTGTCAAGACAATTGAAAGTTTTGTTGCAAAATTTCAAAAGGGGCCGATGAACTCCAAAAATTCTTTTTGCTGAAATCTAACCTGTTAAGGTGTTTTATTCCTTTCCTTACTACAGAGCTGTTCACATAGAGGACTCTGAATCAAGTAAAACAGCATCTCGCGTTATCTTTGGAGTTACCAAAAGTAATGCCAGGACAGGAGGCCAAAACGACTTTGCAAGACAAACGACCAGTTTTTAAATTAGATCCTTTCAAATGAAATTTTAGAACCACTCTCGAGTTCACCAAGTGTAAGGAACACTAATTTCTAAAGGATTCTTCTAATCATGGCCCAATGACTTTCCACTAGGGTAAAGCATACAAAGCTGTGCGGGGTGCGAAGGAGGGAGGGAAGCCACATACGTTTGCTTTTCAAGGTTTACTTTGCACCCTGGGAAACCGATTTGGGTCGCACGGCCGAGCCACCCCCGAATCTGCTGTAACAACTCGAGCAGCTCCAGAAAGGAGGGAGGAGGCGGCAGAAACGGGGCTTCCGTGGAATCCGCCCTCTCGCTAACGGAGCGCTGGCCCAGGGTGGGGTTCCGCCAGGGCCCTGCTTCTGCGAGTTCCCTGGTCCGTACCTGACAGGCGATGGACCTGCGGAAGCCACAAGCCATGTCCGCCTCCACCAAGCGCGCTCCAACCTCCCGGCCCGGACCTTTGCCCCGCCCTCCGCTGTACGCCCCGCCTAGCGCGCCGGAAGCCCGCCCCGAAGGGTCCTGCCAGCCAATCAAGAAGCCGCGTGGCCGTCCACTAACCTCTGCCCTGCTGCCGCGAGGGAGCGCGGGAAATCCCGAGCGCAGAGGCGATCCCGCGAGCGGCTGGGGCCATGGCCACCTCTTCGGTGTCCAAGGTATGTGAGGGTCGGACGCCCGCTAGACTCAGACGTCGTCTCCTTCTCTTTTGAAGAAGGCATGTAACAGAGGTTACGTAGGCTTCGGCGAACCGGCTGGTGGGGAGCGAGTGGCGGGCTGAGCTGGAGCGTCGTACTCCAGGGGCAGTTGAGGTCAATTTTGTTTGGGGGAGCAAAGACACCGATCTACCTTAGTTGTTTTGGCTGGGAGACTTTAAAGTTCAGGTTTGTGGAGGTCGAATTCCCCGAGGATGAGCCCCAGTCTCCCTTTCTCTTTCTTTCTTATAAGTATTTATTGTGCGCCAAGCGCTCCCGTTAGGTACCGAGATAAGCGTGGTAAACAAAATAGACTGCGCTGAAGAAAGACCAGCACCGATGAACGAAGTTAACAAATTGTCATAAATGTTAGACAGCCCGGGGTCTGCGAAGGCCTCTGAAGAAACCGACATTTTAGCTGAGACCTGAAAAATAAGTAGAAGTTAGGATTGGGGAGTATAGGGAGACTGTTCTAGCTTAGAGAGTGACATGTTCTTTGGTCTAGAAGATAGAAATAAAGTGACCTGTATTAAAGAAATTGAAAAATCAGTACAATCAGAGAGGAAGTCTTATGAAAAATGAGAAGAATAACCTAAGTGTGCATGTGTCAGAGGAGATCCGGTAGTCCTCATATGGGCTGTCTAGATGGCCAAGGGATTGTAGGGAGACATGATAGTGTGGTTGGTAAGAAGATAAATCCTAGAGCTCTATTATCCAATTAAGTAGCCAAAGGCCACATGTGGCTATTTCAAATTTAATTAAAAAAGTAAAATTTGGGGATCCCTGGATGGCTCAGCGGTTTAGCGCCGCCTTCAGCCCAGGGCGTGACCCTGGGGACCTGGGATCAGTTTCACGTGAGGCTCCCCGCATGGGGCCTGCTTTTCCCTCTGCCTGTGTCTCTGCCCCCCCACCCCACCCCCGGGTCTCTCATGAATAAATAAATAAAATCTTTAATAAAAATAAAAAAATAAAGTAAAATTAGATAAAATTAGAAATTCATTTTCTCAGTCTTAACTAGCCACATTTCAACTGCTTAATAACCACATATGGTGGTGACTGTTGTATTAGTGCAGACATGATAGTTCTCCTTCATTACCAAAGGTTCAATTGAACAGCACTGCTACAGACCAAGTAAAAGTAAGACCATTAGTAATATGGGTGCAGCCAGATGCCCCTGAAATTAAACTGTGATAAAGTTGAGAATGTAAGTGAAAAAACTGCAGTCATTTCTTCCCATGTTAAAACAGTACATTAGAAGGCTCTTTCATGGATCTGATCTTTAGTTTTGACTAAAATTAAGCTAAAATTATAGGAAAGAGTGCCTTCTGAGACTATATCAAAGGGAAACTAAGCCACAGAGCTTAAGTTTACAGAAGATTGGCTGTGCTCTAGGTGCAAATGCTGGAAGAGGTTTAACTGTGCTGGTGTAGCCCAGGCCGTGGGGGCGCAAGAGCACCTGGCTCCAGATATCTGAAACCAACCAGCTTCAGCCAGTCACTGCTGTCAAAATCCAAAGTCAGAGAAATGAGTGGTAGTGAAACAAAAAAGGAATTTAATTCAGTGAGGCCAACACTGATAAGACAGCAGCCTAGAGTCTCAAAGACTCTCCAAAGTGCTGAAAATACTTCCAGGTTTAAATGAGGAAAATTTGGGACAAAGGAGGGCCGGAAAGGTCCGGTTGATCATTATCTTGGAGTCAATCCTGGGCTAGTTCTTCCTGGCTCTGGGCAATCCTTATTGCTTAAGGGATTAGTTTTGGTTCCCCTCAGAGGATGCTGTGCCCACAGAATGTTTTTCTGGAAAAAAAAAAAAAAAAAGAACTTAATTAGAAAGTTTGAGATCAAAATGGAGATAGTTCAAGTTCTCTTACACTAGTATTTTTTATTAGGGTTGGTACTGTTTGGGTTTTGCCCTCGTTTTAAAGATCCATAAATTTTGAGTGGTCTGCCCCCTAATCCTTTTCATTGTTTCAGGCTCTTATTTTTGTGTCTTGCAGAATTGTGGTTTTTTTTTTTTTTTTCAGGAGAACATTTCTGGCATTATAATAGAAATGCTTGTATTGAAATGATTATGAAGGGGACCTTGCATGAATAAGAGTCTTTAAGGACTATATTAGGTATTCATGGGACTGCTAGCTTTTTTTTTCTTTATCTAAACTTCCTTCTCTTTGTCATATTTTCTACCTGATAGCTCTCCTGCTAGACTGCTTCTTCTGTCTCAAACACCATCATTTAATCAGCAGTTCGAAGTGGTTAACCATATTACTTACTACCTGCTATTTATTAGGACCTATTCTGAGCACTGGTCATATCTCACTCCTTCGTAGCTCCTTTTCCCTTACTGAATTGCAGGTAGTTATAGAAAGAAGACAATGGGGGATCCCTGGGTGGCTCAGCGGTTTAGTGCCTGCCTTTGGCCCATGACGCGATCCTGGAGTCCTGGGATCGAGTCCCATGTCGGGCTCCCGGCATGGAGCCTGCTTCTCTCTCCTCCTGTGTCTCTGCCTCTCTCTCTCTCTCTCTCTCTCTCTCTCTCTCTCTCTCTCTCTCTATGTCTATCATGAATAAGTAAGTAAATAAATCTTTAAAAAAAAAAAGAAAGGAGACAATGACAAGCTTGTTGTGATACTACAAGATTTTTCTAAATGTAAATGTGTATTTCAGTAGTTCAGTAGTTGCAGATACAAGAGTATAAGGCACAGTTCTTATTTTGGGTCTTGTAATGCAAATGGCCACTTTATATTTGCAGAGCTGTCTTTGGCACTGTCCTGAGATGACTTTTTCTAGGTATAGTTTTTTCATTTTTTCTTTCATTTTCCATATTAATGGCAGTCTTTAAGAAGCTGTACATGGTGCATGGATTGGTAGAATAAACGTAGGACCAGTAGCTTGGGGGCTATATATCACTAGTCAAATAATAACATGAAACTAAAGGTAGCTAGGAAATTACCAGAAAAATTACTCGGTAAGCATTCATTCATATACTCATTGCCTAATGTTTATATTAACACTGTCCTAAACACTGAGGAAACAATTATGAATTATATGCAGTATGTGCCCCAAAGGTACTCACAAACTACTTGTGAGAGAGAGAGACCTGTAAATAACCATGATACACAGTGAAAGTGATTTAAAACAAAGCAAAATAAAGGCATTCAAGTATTGTGAGATCTTAGGGAAAGGAATAATTCTAACTAGAGAACTGAGGAAGGTTTCCCAGAACAGATGAATAAGACTCTTATCAGATGAAGAAAAGTGTATAAGGATAAAACAATAGACAAATTATCTATTTCCTGACCAGGTTATGGATATTTAAAGTTTAATTAAATAATATTTCCTTTAAAATGAGAGAGTATCACTATTTTGATGAATAGAACTAATGTTCTTTCTTTAAGTTTTATAAAAATAGAACCTTTCTGGATTTACATTTCATCAGCTTTTTTTTTTTTTTTTTTGTCTCTTAGATTAGGTTCCTAGGAGCAAAATCAAAGACGAGCATCCCAAGGGAAGGAGGAGAAAGAAATGGATAGTCCCCTTGTTTAACAATTTTTCTTTAAAAAAAAAAAAAAAAGGAATTTTTCTTCTAGGGGTGCCTGGGTAGCTGAGTTGTTTAAGCCTTTGACTTGATTAAACTCAAGTCATGATCTCAGGGGTCCTGGATTGAGCCCCCCTGTCGAGTTCTGGGCTCAGCAGGGAGTCTACTTGGGATTCTCTCTCGCTCTCCCACTCTCCCTCACTCACTCATGTGCTCATGCTCTCTCTCTAAAAAATAAATATTTAAAAAAAAGAATTTTCCTGTTACAATTGATTGAAGAGAGGTGATTTCTTAGCACTTTAAAGAAATACCTTTTTAGAAAATCTCATTCATAAGATACTTGGTTAATCAGATTTATCTGTTCCTTGCCTACTTTGACTTTATACTTTTTTCTTTCTTTCTTTTTTTTAGGGCTGCTTTGTGTTTAAGCCAAACTTCAAGAAGAGAAAGATCTCTGTACCAGTAGGTAAGAGATACCAAATTGGTTAGTTTTCTTCCCCTAAGTCTTGAACTTACCTAACTAAACCTAGTTGAATTCAGTAATTCTTTTGTCTAAGTTTGACTTACTTATCTTCTTGTAGCAATTATGTTCCAATGTATAGTGAAAGAGTTAAGTTACATCCCAGAGTTTCAGTCTAAAAGGGAATCCAAGTATACCTTCAAAAGGAAAATTGGAAAGTAAATTTCCTTCAAAAGATATGTCCCCATTCTTCAAAAGAGATTGTCTTAGGAGTGCTTGGCTGGTCAGATGGTGAAGCATGCAACCCTTGATCTCGGGGTTGTGAGTTCAAACCCCACATTAGGCGTAGAGCTTACTTAAATATATAAATAATAGGCTAACTTAGATGGAAGTTTAAAAAAAGAGAGAGCTGGTTTTAAAAATCTCAGTGATTTCCTGGGGTGTGGTAGAGGAAGTTGACTGCAAAAGGGCAAAAGATACTTTTTGGACTAATGGAAATGTTTTCTAGATTGAGGGAACAGTTATATGAGTGTTTATTTTTATTAGGACATAATAAACTATTAAAATGGGCATATTAAGAAAGAACCTTTTTTTTTTTTTTTTAAATCTCCAGCTATCTGCTTAGTGATCATGTTAGGAAGAATTGACTTTTTCAAGCAAATCATGATAATACTGTCAAAATGTATTTTGTTCTGTAGCTGCAGATTAGAATCACTTGGGGAACTATTTTAAAAAAAAATTGGTTTTTTTTTTAGGACATAGTCATGAGTTCACGTACAGTTGCAAGAAAGTGTAGAGAGTTCCCTTGTGCCCTTTACCTAGTAATCTCAGTGGTAATATTTTGGGTATCTGGTATAGTATCACAATCAGAAAACTCAATATTGGTACCATCTATTGACCTTATTTAGATTTCAACTTGGGGAACTTTTTTTTTTTTTTTTTTAAGATTTTATTTATTTATTCCTGAGAGACAGAGAGAGAAGCAGAGACACAGGCAGAGGGAGAAGCAGGCTCCATGCTGGGAGCCCAGTGTGGGACTTGATCCTGGGACTCCAGGATCACACCCTGAGCTAAAGACAGGTGTTAAACCGTTGAGCCACCCAGGGATCCCCAACTTGGGGAACGTTTTAAAGATACTAATGCCCAGATCTCAAAATCAGAATCTCTGGGAATGATACCTAGGTATTGGTACTTCTTAAAAAGCTTCTCACAGGCTTATTATTTATACTTATTATTCAGTACTATAAAGATTAATTCTGATGGAAAGATTGTGATATGGAATTAAGCATATTTATGCACTAGTTTTGAGTTAAAAAAGAAAAACTGAACTATACCACTGTTTGACGAAGGAAATAAATAACTTGCATTTATTGACAGGGAGTTTTCTAAATCATTGCATGATTCAGACCTTAGAGTGTTACTACTTCAGTTTGAGACCAACTAGATAAGAAACCTGTGGTCAAGGAGCAAATAATAAAATGATGGTCATACTGAAGGGACCAGAGGGTAGAATATATGATTTATAAGAATCTGGTTTCTCATTAACAGAATAAACAGTGATCTCAAGTTCTATACTCTTAGACTTAAAGACATGAAACTTTCTGTATTCCCTGCCCCCACCCCCAATAAAAAGTGAGTGATAGACTTGGAAATAGTGAACAAAGAATAGTTACATTATATTGCAGTACACTGAGCTCCATAGAGACAGTGCTGGAGCAAGTGAGAGCCAGACGGGCACTGGGCAACTCTGTGCCTCACTGAGGAAAATAATTAAACATGGGCAAAGGAGATCCTAAGAAGCCAAGTGGCAAAATGTCATCATATGCATTCTTTGTGCAAACTTGCTGAGAGGAGCACAAGAAGAAGCACCCAGATGCTTCAGTGAACTTCTCAGAGTTTTCTGAGAAGTGCTCAGAAAGGTGAAAGACCATGTCTGCCAGAGAGAAAGGAAAATTTGAAAACATGGCTAAGGTGTACGAGGCCCATTATGAAAGAGAAATGAAAACTTATATCCCCCCTAAAGGGAAAACAAAAAGGCAGTTCAAGGATCCCAATGCACCTAGGAGACCTCCCTCAGCCTTTTTCTCATTTTGTTCTGAGTATTGCCCAAAAATCAAAGGAGAGCATCCCAGCCTATCCTTTGGTGATGTTGTGAAGAAACTGGGAGAGATGTGGAATGACACTGCTGCAGATGAGAAGCAGCCTTATGAAAAAAATACTGCTAAGCTGAAGGAAAAATATGAAAAGGATATTGCTGCATACCGAGCTAAAGGAAAGCCTGATGTGGCAAAAAAGGGAGTTGTCAAGGCTGAAAAGAGCAAGAAAAAGAAGAGGAGGAAGATGAAGAGGATGAGAAGGAAGAAGACGAAGAAGATGATGAATAAGTTGGTTCTAGTGCAGTTTTTTTTTCTTGTCTATAAAGCATTTAACCCCCCTGTACACAACTCCTTTTAAAGAAAAAAATTGAAATGTAAGGCTGTGTAAGATTTGTTTTTAAACTGCACAGTGTCTTTTTTTTGTGTGTGTGTAGTTAACACACTACCGAATGCGTCTTTAGATAGCTCTGTCCTGGTGGTATTTTCAATAGCCATTAACCTTGCCTGGTACAGTATGGAGGTTGTAAATTGGCATGGAAATTTAAAGCAGGTTCTTGTTGGTGCACAGCACAAATTAGTTATGTATGGGGATGGTAGATTTTCATCTTCAGTTGTCTCTGATGCAGCTTCTACAAAATAATTGTTGTTCTGTTAACTGAATACCACTCTGTAATTGCACAAAAAAAAAATGTTGCAGCTGTTTTGTTGACATTCTGAATGCTTCTAAGTAAATACAATTTTTTATTAAAAAAGAATAGTTACATTATAAATTATTTTTAAGTGATTGACTTATGAACATATTGCTTTAATGTTGGAGATTGCTAAACTTGAAGTAGTTCTTTTTCAGAGAAAATTCAAGTTTTGTTTCCCATTATGTATGAAAGATACAGAGCATGAAATGACATCTGGTATCGGCAATGTCATTATAACTAATTAAATTGTTAGTGTTTATTGAGGTTTGATTATATGCTAGATTATTCTAAACCCTGTATATGTGTTACATAGTTTAATCCTCTCAGCAGACTGTGAGGAATGTATTATAATTATGTCCATTAAAATATATGAGGAGGATACTTAGAACTTTCTCAATGATAGTGCTAGTAAGCGGCAGAGCTGGGATTTGAACCTAGGCTGTTTGATTCCAGAGCCTTTGGTCTAACCAGTACTTGGTACTGTCTCCATAATATGAGGCAAGTTTTTGCTTAGAACTTTTTCTGTTGAATTTCAGCTATCATTTATTAAGATTTGTTTAAAGTTTTAGTATTACTAAGCCTAATTTGTATAATTTGAAGTTTGCTTTGAAGTATATTAATTTTTTTTTACTGTGCTGACCTAAGACCAATAGATAAGGTTTCGATATGAGAATCTTAGAGGAATTGACAATTGACCCTGATTAAGACAGATGGTGTAGGAAAAAGGAAAACATATCCAGATTTTAGCACTTGCCTTCACTGGCTTCAATTCTTGAAACAGATTGCCTGAAGAAGTAGGAAGATGCCCTGCATTTTGCCCACCATCTGTCCCCTGACTTGAAGACACTTGGATGTGTACTTAAGAGAAGACTGGTAACTCTCCCTCTCCTCTGCGTTCTCTGGATGACTGTACATCCACGAAAACGACTGGGCAGGAACTGGAGAGAAAGAGACAGACTGAGCCCTGTGTAGGAGAGGTTCACATTGAAGTAAAACACTGTGTGTAGGAGCAGGAGGGAACCTGTCAACAGCAAGAGCTTCTATTTCTTAGGTCTTCTCAATGTGTTTTTTACCTTTCTGATCTATAAATGACTGAGAGAAGTCATGGTAACAAGTTAAATTGTCCTGCTGTTTTCCAATTTCTGACAGTTTTTTTGTTAATATTTTGATGCCATATTACTCGGCACATAAAAAATTGATGCCTTGATTTGACACTTTAACATTTTATATGGTTTTATTCGTTATCAAAGTAAAATGAACTTTTTCATTCTATTTAAGGCTACATTGTTACTCTGCTTTGTCTATTAATAATGGTGTATTTCCCATTTTTGTTAGCATTTTTATACTATAACCTTGTCTATATCATTTTACCTTATGATGACTTCAGTATATTCTAAGGCTTTTGATAAACTTAAAAAACACTTGCTAAAAACTCTGAGTCAACTATGAACAGAAGCAAAGTTCCTTAACATAAAAGACAATCTGTATTTCAAACTACCAGTTAACATTAAAACTTGGTATTGGCTTCTGAATAAAATCAGGAACAAAATATGTATTTTCACTATTATTGAATCCTTTAAAAGTTCTAGTTGTTATAATAAAATACCTAACAGTAACAATAAGAAATGTGAAGGAAAGTAGAAAACTACAAGAAATGTAGAATATTTGACTAAAGGAAGAGACTTGTAGTGTTTTAGATGTAGATTTTCTAACGTATTACCAATATCATTTCTTCCTAAATCAATCTACATTATTTGATTTTACCCAGTCAGAATACCACTTTAATTATTTTTGAGTAATGGCAAAATTTATTTGAAAGAATGGCTTAAAATATTTTGAAGAAGAATGATAATGTTTGGTGGTGGTAGGAGGGAAACCTGGAATTATTCCAATATGGAAATGCACTGCAAAGCTACAGCCATTTAATGATCTTAAATGGTTCAGGACAGCTGTGGGAATAGACTTGGATTTAGTAGAAGTTAAAAATTAGTTCCAAGTGCATTTGTAAGTATCTCGATAGCAAGGGTACTTCAAATCAGTGGAAGAAAGGATGGATTATTTAATAAGTGAATGTTTTCAAACTGAAAGTTAAAATCCAAGTGTGAGTCATGAAATCAACTTAGTCATAATAGTTTTAAAAAACAGAGTAGAAAAGAAAACATTTGCTGTCATATGATAAGTATTGTTTTTGTGGACCTTTGTAGTTTCTGTTAAATATCTGTGTGTTGGATTATGTTGTAAAATGTATTCCATAATGTGGATCATGGTTTACAAAGTTTGAAAAGCACTGTATTTTGATAAATGGTGTTTTGATGAATGGCTAACCATTTGGAGGAAAAGATTGAAAAAGCATATAAAATAATACAGACTAAATGAAAGGCTGAACTAACCTATATCAGTTGAATAAAAGAATAAGAATCATGGTAAGAATCAATTCATAAAGGAGAATTCAGAGCAAATATATGAAGCAAAGTATACAAGGCTTTTTTAGTAAGAGCAAAGGAAAATATATTAATATTAAATGTTTATGTCTCAAACTGAATCCATTAAATACTGTTAGCAAATCAAAAGTACATGATAGAAATATAATCTAAAAGTTAAAGATTTTTAATCTTTTAGATACCGTTACTATAGTAAAAATATGATATATAAATAAAATTAAAGGCTATTGAATGTTACCTATCTCCAAATATACATATATATATTTTAGTACATATGTCAGCCCCATCCCTTACTGTGTGACTTTGCACAGAGATTTTCTAACTTTTATTATATAAAAAAGAAACTGACCTATTTCTTTCTGTGTTTTTAGAGGACTATTTTAATAAAGGGAAAAATGAGTCTGAGGACAGTAAGCTCCGATTTGAAACTTATCAGTTGATATGGCAACAAATGAAATCTGAAACTGAGGTGAATACTTTTTAATAATTTAATATTTCTCTAATTCCATAAATCTCATATTTGTTGCTTCCCATCTTCCTTACCATCAATTTTCGAGACTATTAATGAAACTTAGGTAATATTAGTTCAATATAATCTGCATATCCTAAAAAATACACTCATGTTCCAAGTATTAAGCACAGCTTCAGGTACTGGAACATACATTTATAATGATAGCTGCCAAGGCAAGGGGCTCTTTATATATCCTCACAACTTTTAAATGGTGGCACTCTTTAAATATCCGTTTAATTACACAAGAAATTACTTTTTTTTTTAATTTTTATTTATTTATGATAGTCACACACACACACACAGAGAGAGAGAGAGAGAGGCAGAGACACAGGCAGAGGGAGAAGCAGGCTCCATGCACCGGGAGCCCGACGCGGGATTCGATTCCGGGTCTCCAGGATCACGCCCTGGGCCAAAGGCAGGCACCAAACCGCTGCGCCACCCAGGGATCCCGAAATTAAGTTACTTTAAAGAGCTTGTCATCCTCATGTCCAGTTTCTGTGTTCTTCATATTCCAGCTCTGAAATAACTTCTCTGCTGTAGCAGATTCATAGCTCTAGGGCCAACATCTTGAGTGGTCTTCTTTTGTTTGACCAACACAGTGTTGTATTTTTTTGGTTTTTAATGCCTGCGGGAGAGTTATGCACTTTGTTACTGCTTCCTACTACTCTTATTGCTTTCCACCTACGGCTTTGTTCATTTATGTATTCCATGTGACCCTTGAAAGTATTTGAATTTATGGTTTCTAGTTTAGACCTTCATTTTTTTTAAAATTTTTTTTTATTTATTTATGATAGTCACAGAGAGAGAGAGAGAGAGAGAGGCAGAGAGGCAGAGACACAGGCAGAGGGAGAAGCAGGCTTCATGCACCGGGAGCCCGACATGGGATTCGATCCCGGGTCTCCAGGATCGCGCCCTGGGCCAAAGGCAGGCGCCAAACCGCTGCGCCACCCAGGGATCCCTAGACCTTCATTTTTAAACTTAGATTGTGATGATCCTCCTAACTGATGTCTCTGCCTTTGATGTCAAACCCCTCAGGTCTGTCAGTAGTCCCTACAGCACCATTGGCCAAGTTAAAGTCTTCCCTTCAGGCAGGTATAACCCTGTGCCAGGCTGCAAGGGTTTTCCTGTCCTGTTAGTACAGCTTCTCCCATCCCCTTCACAGTGCTGCCAGATTAACCCTTCTTAACCCTGATTTAATCATGTTGGTCCTTAACATTCCTGCAGTGGTTCTCCCCACAAGATAAAATCCAAACCTTTTTAACTTCGAGTATCATTTTTTAGGCCTAGCCTCTTATTTGTCCAGGCTCATTCCCTACCGCTTCTCCTGTTCTTGATGCTTGTTCTGTTTGTGGTTCCCCAGCTGGTTGGTGCTTCCTTCCTTGCTTCCTCTACTCACCATTCCTTCTAACTTTCTTGTCCCTATAATTACCTCCTCCATCAGCTGCTCTAATGCTTTGGCTCAACTACGTCACCTCAGCATAACCTGGATAGTCCTATCTTTATATTATCATAGGACTCTACATACGTATTTTAACTGTAAGTGTTCTTCCTCAGTTTTTTTTTTTTCACTTTTTTAGGATAAAGACTACTTTCTATCTTTCATTTTTAAGATGGTTAGTAAATGTTTGTTGTATAAATAAATGAGATTCTTTGATGAGGGAATCCAAAGCACTAATGACTGGAAATTTAAGGAAAAAATATTTTTTTATTTCTTCCATCTAATAATCATTTTACATGTAATCTTTGGAATTCATGACAGTTTTCTTTCCCAAACTTGGAAAGATGCATTAGATTACTATTGATAATAATTCATGAAGTTTTATGTTTTCTTTGTAGCGACTACAGGAGGAATTAAATAAAAACTTGTTCGATAGTCTAATTGAATTTCTGCGGAAGTCTTACTCTGGATTCCAGAAGAGCTCAAGAGACTGGGGCTGCCAAATAAAACTCAGAGAAATTCCAACTGCTGCTCTTATTCTAGGTATGTATGGGTGTATGTTTGTTTCTTTAATTAGTGGTTTTGTTGATGAGAAGAGTGGAGAATAACTTGTTTTGATAAACCTGTTTTGTCTCATATAGAATTAAGCTAATTATAGTTTGCTTTACATACTTTCAAAACCAATAAACGTTCCTTATACTGATCATACATCTGTAACTTAAATAGAGATTAGCTAGTACCCTCTTCAACTTTTTGTTAGGCAAGTGAAAGAGAAATATATTTGTGTCACTCCTTAGTTCTTTTATGAGAATATATGATATTTGAATTCGGTAATAAAGAAACAGCCAGTGGGTTGATAGATTAGATTTATATGCTTTTTTTAAAAAATTGTCTTTTCTGTGGAATTATCTATCACTTTAATTTTATATTCCTGTGCTTAGTTTCTCAATCTTAGATTGTTTCATAATACTATATTATTATTGTTTAGAAGGGGGTTTGGATGAATTATATATAAACTTTCAAACTGCAGATTGCAAATTTCTTAGGTACTTAAATACCCATTATTAATGTCCCATTTTAACCAAACTTTTGGTTGTAGGGTAATAAAAAAAATTTATTTGGATTACTGGCAAATTTTCTTTTTTCTTTTGGAAAGAAAGTTGGATCTATTTGGATTTCAAATGTACTCTTCATTGCACTTAAACTATTTATTCAAGGTTTGTTATACTAGTGTGTACTAAGATAAGAGCTTAATTTTGTTGTTTAATATTTAATACTGCCTTTAATACTGTTCATTACCTAAATCTCATTCCTGATGTTCAAGGCATTACTTATCAAAATTTAATGTATCTACAAATAACCTCCAAGGGATATTAGTAAATGCAGTTTTTGTCAATAGGTCTGAGGTGGGGCCTGAAATTCTACATTTTTAACAGGCCTCCTGCTGGTGTCCATACTGCTGATATTAGGACCACTCTGAGTAACAAGACACAGGGAGTGATTTTTATAACACTTTTTGTAATAATTTTATGTAATTTTTATAATATGAACAGCTTTTCAGTGCAGCCTGCACTTAATTTCAAAACCCTTTCCATTTATGGGTGAGAAACTGAGTCCCAGTGATGACTAGATTATACTGTTTGGTGCTTTGTTTCTCTACTGCCAGGTTATAATAATTGGAGGTGGAGTGATGGCTAATCAAGAGTGATGGCTTGATAGATTGCTGAGAGCACTGTTTAAATCCCTTCCCTGCCTACTGCCAAAAGGAGAAAAGAAGCTAATGGAAATGTTATATTCCAAAGTCAGTAGTCTGAGGAGAACATTTTCCCAGTTAAAGATACTGCTAATTTTGTTTCTGATAGACCAATCCATTGTTTTAAGCAACAGAATGTTAAATAGCTTATAAAGTCAGTCAGTGAAAGACAAACCAGTATTTTGCCACCTCCCAAATTTGTTTAAAGATGCAGTATCAGAATCATAGGCCATAATGCATGCTAGGAATATCATTTTGATTCTGTAAAACAACAACAACAACAAAAAAAAACAAAAACAAACTGTAATCCAAGAATGCTTAAGCACAGTTACACATTTTCTGTTTTCAAAAAAGTGTATGTCCATTTAAAAATAGCCTGCCAACCTTTTTATTTGTTGGCTCTCCTAGAAGAAAATTTTTACTTCTTGTGGCTTGGATTCTGAACCTTTTTTTTTTTTTTTCTAACCAATTGAAGTTTTATAGTAGCAGTTATTAACTAGTTTCAAGATGTTTACTGTTGGCACCTAAGTGCCAAAGCACTTTTTAGAAATCACAGATTGTGACGTCAGGGAAAGTATCAGTAGAATTTTTTTCCAATATAGTGAGGAAGTTACGCTTAACTCTGATAGCTATAGGCACAGCACTACACTCTGATTTGTGGATATGACAACAGGGGGCTTAGTAAATACCTAAAGGACCTAAAGTTTTATTCATTTTTAAGGCTCTTCCCTCAGAAGTTAGCTTAATGTATACTTTACCTATTGTATTTACTACAACAGTCATTGATAGTATTAGTGATTGGATTCTCCTCACTTGATGTCAGAGTCACAGTAAGCCTGGAATCCATAGCCCTTATTTTTTGAATGATTATTTTAAAGAGTTCTTTATGAATTTGACAAAGCAATGAAATTACTTGTAAGTTTTCAAGGGTTAACTATACATCCTCAGTAACTTTTTTTAAAGGGAAATAGTAGGGATGCTTAGGTGGCTCTCAGCTGTTGGGCGTCTGCCTTCAGTTCAGGTCGTGATCCTGGGATTCAGGATCGAGTCCCACATCGGGCTCCCTAGGAGAAGCCTGCTTCTCCTTCTGCCTAGGTCTCTGCCTTTCTCTGTTGTCTCTTATGAGTAAATAAATAAATCTTTAATTAAAAAAAGAAAAGAAAAATAAAGAGACATTGTATAAAATACCCTTTCTGGCAACTAAGTATTGTATGCGCCTCCAGATAGCTATTGTTAAAGGAGGTCTCTTCATTTATGCAGTATATTTTCTTGGTATCTGTTATTAATCGTGTTTAAAAATATTTTTATTTAGTAATTCACTTGACATGTTCACCTTGTTGTTATATTGTTAATAATACAAATAATGGTGCAATACTGATGTATTATTCCATAGGTGTGAATGTGACAGATCATGATTTAACATTCAGAAGTCTAACAGAAGCTCTTCAGAATAATGTCTCTCCATATGTAGTCTCATTGCAAGCTAAAGATTGTCCAGGTACAGAATAAATGCCATAATAATCTTGGTGAGAATGTTACAAATCTCTTCTGACAACCCCTCCCCCCCTCAGCTATCTCTATCCCTTTTTATTTGTGGGAAGAGCATGGCACTACATTTTTGGCAGGGTGAGGTTTATTACCTATCACAGTAGTCTTGACTGTTGCATGACTCTCTGCTACCCTTTGCTTCATTTATTCCTGTTCCACCCCTGCCATATTAGCTTCACAGCCAGTAATAGTCTAGGCATTTTTATGAGATGTGTTCCTTAACCCAGTAGAAGTTTAATAAGTTGGAAAGTTTGGGACAGGAAGCTAAGAATTAAGGATTGGGGATTGGGCAGCTCTTATTTAGCCCAACAGAGAATAGACTATATAGGTTCATATTTACAGCCTCAAATCATCTTGTTGTTCTAGTCTGAAAGACTAGAATGGCAAAAAGTAGTCTATCACCAGAGGTAATCTTCAGTATATGAAGCCATTAAATCACAAAGAATGTGGACACTAAGAGTAAAATGGGTTTAGATTTGAACTGACATAAGGACTTTATGTGCTTATATTACTTTAATATTTATAAACTGATTAAATAAAAGCCCTTAGTACATCTTTTAAAATGACTCTAAGGAAGGTTTGTAATCAGTAAAATAATTTACATAACACTTTTGATCTTTTTTGAGAGGACTTAAAAACCTTTTGCTGACTAGGGTGATTTAAATATATATTGTTTCTTGGGGAGCCCCGGTGGCGCAGCGTTTAGCGCCGCCTGCAGCCCAGGGCGTGATCTGGAGACCCTGGATCGAGTCCCACGTCACGCTCTCTGCATGGAGCCTGCTTCTCCCTCTGCCTGTGTCTCTGCCTCTCTCTCTCTCTCTGCATCTCTATGAATAAATAAATAAAATCTTAAAAAAATAAATTAATATTGTTTCTCATATAATTTTTAATTTTCATGTTTACACATTAGTTTAGGTAACACATTTATAATGGACAATATACATAAACTTTGACTTAGTCTGAATTCGTGAAATTTAAATATTAAGGAGACGGTACTAACAAACGTTAACAGTTAATATGTTAAATATTGTGTTAATGTTAAGTATAGAAAAATACTTTCTACCAAATGTAATCTACTGACCAAGAACTCTCAGATGTTTCATATTTGTTTTACAGGGAGATGAGCTTTCTTATATTTTTTATCTATTTTGCAGATATGAAACATTTTTTGCAAAAGCTGGTCTCACAGTTGATGGACTGCTGTGTAGATGAGGAAACCAAAGAGGGAAGTATTCAGGTTGCCCAGAAAAAGACACACTGTTCAATGGATTCTCTTTCCAGTTGGTATACGAATGTCACACGGGTAAGTGTAAACTGACAATTTTCTCTCAGGAAATTGGCATATGATTGAAGAGGCTTAGAATTATATTAAATGTAGTACTGTTTTGTTTTAAAGATTGTGCTTATGTGCTTTAGCTATTAATAGTAGCTACTTATATTTTGTAAGGCTACTAGAATTTAAAAGTATTTTTTTTCCAGTATGCAGTCTAATTTCTGGTAAGTGTTTAATTTCTTAAAAGGCCGTTGTATTTGTAGGAGAATATCATCTAGTGACAAAAACAACGCCAGGAATTGGTTCTGTTCTAGATACTATCTTTGTGACAATGGCTATAACTTTAATGTGTTATCTCTTAGGTAGGTCCCTCATATTTATTTGCTTTTGTACAATAGAACCATGCTGCCAGTTCCCACTGTCAACTTAGTCCAATGAGAAGTAGTCATTTTGAAAAAAAATCTAATTTGTTCTGCATTTAGACTTCTTGGGGAATAAATTATCTGTAAGTAAAGTATTTCCAACAAACAGAAAGCTAAAAAGAGGTTCCATTCTACCATGACAGTCTCTAGTGAAAATGAATAACCTTAGTGATTCATGAAGAACTGCAACATAAAACCACAGCTTTAGTTTATGATGCTGTGTAGCCAGATAGTATGGGGAAAAATACTGTGGTGACATTTTCTGATAAAGGTGTTTGCTGAAGTCAGTCATAAGTGAAGTTTCATTTTGCTTTATATAGGGATTAAATTGGGTCTAATGCTTATCATAATATCTTAATTTGATCCACAATTTAAAATCTTCTGGAAATCAAATGCTACATGCAGTTTAATGTCAGCCGTCTTTAAAAGATTCAGATTGGATCAGATGATATGAAAGATGCTTTTCAACTTAAAGTTTAACAGTAGCATAGCAGCAAGTAGTGTTGTTTATTGTACTTTTTATTTAAAAATACTAGTTTTCACCTTAAAGCAAAGCAAAATATATAACATTCTGTTTACGGAAAAAATAATTTATAGAAAATCTTCTCCCCTTGTCTTTTCTGTCGTTTTCTCAGTAGAAAATATAAGTATTTCATATGAATTATAGATTTTACTGAATCTTTTTCTTCTTGGTTATTTTTTTTTTCTTCTTGGTTATTATTCCCATGTCAGACACAGAAGGATTCTGCTAATAACTGTTGGAATGAGTTTTTTTTTTTATATGGGAGAAATAAAAGAAACAGTGTTACTGTAAAATAATAAAGGGAGATATATAAACTGTGATTGGAGCATTGTTTGGGTGGTAAGGCTTACTTTTAATTCCTTCTTTTCACAATGGCTTAAAAGAAGACAGACCCAAAAATGCCCAGGAAAAAGAGGACTTCTTCTAGCCAATGGCAATCTCCTCCTGTTGTACTTATCTTAAAGGATATGGAAAGCTTCACCACAAAAGTACTCCAGGACTTCATAATTATCAGCAGGTAGATGATATATCACCTGGCTTTTACATAAAATTCTTTTTATTAAGGAAATATACAACTTTTAGCTTGAAGAGCAACCTTTTCCAGAGAAAATGAATGGTAATTTGATCTTCATTTTAATACCAACTGGATAGAAACCAAAGTGATTTCAAATTCCTTATAATTGAATGTTCAAAGACCTCCTATCAGATTTTCATTTGCTTTTTGACCCAAGAATGAGATCAAAAGACTAAAGTTAGCCAATTTTTAATTAGTATGATAGGGCAGTATAAGATGTAGTTTCTTTCATCAAGGTCATCTGTCTCTTACTTTCCCATTAAATGCATAAACTACTCCAGATTGATATATGTTTGCCAGGTCTTATTTTCTGATACCTATCCACCCTTAGAAGCTCTGACTTGTATATAGCTCTTCTGAGCAAGTATGTTTGCTAAATAACATTATCTTATACTTGAAGTGAGAAACTACTTTAATGATCTCATTGGATTTTCAAGGCAGTCCTGTGAGATTCAGAATTGGAGTAACTCCCCCTATTTAAAATCCAGTGATATGTGTATCCCATCGTACATTTTTTAAGATATAATTTATCTTGTTTTTTTTCTATATGTTAACTTGCTTGATAGTTATGGCTACACTTGTCTAAAGCTATATTGTTTTATAATTTACTAATATAATTCCTATTGTGATGGTGTCTTTTTTTTTTTCTGTATTGAAACAAAGGTTTCTAGATCCTAAGACTTTTCTTAATGGTAAAACTGAACTGCTTTACGTGCTTTAAAAATGCAGAATAAAAAGAGTGACAGAAGAGCTGTACTTTTTTGGAGCTTAAGCTTGTGACCACTTTTGCCATCTAAAGTGAGAAAGATCTCACAACAGTAACAGAATCCAAGCACAGTACGTCTACGAAGGTAGAATTGTGTATTGATAGAGTACTGAACAGCAATAGCCAATAGGAGGGAACAGGCAAAATCCTCAGCCTTGGTACAAAGGGCTCAAACCCACAATAGCTCTCAAAGATAGTGCTGTTTTACTCTGTGGAACTCATTTGTGTTTATTTGGGAATGCTAAGAATAAATTATGGCTAATAAATTTGAGTTAAGAATACAAGGAAAGGATGTAACATTTTTAAATGGTATCCATTAAAAATTGGTGTGTGTAACTAAAGTTTCCTAATTCTTAGCTATTATGTACGGCTGGGTGACATAGTGTCTGTTAGAAATGTGCATAAATAGAACAAGTTACCTTGAAAGTTTTTGAGTTTCATATCACTTAACTCTTAAAGCATAGGCTGGATGTCTGTTAGGAAGACCGTAGGTAGGGCTCAAACTTTGAGTGAGAAGTTAAATTGAATGATACCTAATTCTTGTAACATTTGAGATTATATAACCTAGAGGGAGGCATTTGATCTCTTTGGACGTTTTTATTTTTATAAAATGAGAGGATCTGTTAATAGAGCAATTTCAGGGCTAGAATGTCTGGGAAATAACTATATTACTTTAATAGGGGAAACTGTAACCTAGAAAATTTGAGTATTTGGAATGATACTCCTCAGCAGTGTCCTACAGTATACATTCAAATAAAGGTTACCTTAATTTGAAATTTGATATATTGAAATATATTCCCGAAAGAAATCCCACTTTTGTATTTTCCTTTGAAAACTAGTCAACATCTACATGAATTTCCACTAATGCTCATTTTTGGAATTGCCACATCTCCTATTATCATCCATCGGTTGCTTCCTCATGCAGTATCATCTCTGTTGTGCATAGAACTATTCCAGTCTCTGTCCTGCAAGGAGCACCTGACTACGGTACTTGATAAGGTAAAAAGAAAAAACTATACCAGTGAAATAGTATGAAAAGACTGCCAAGAATAGATTAGAAATATAAATGTTAGTGATAAATTTCTGCATCTCTCAGAGTATGAAATTGAACGTATTTCCTCACATTTTTTTATATTTAGTGATTTTTATAAGGTACAGTATTGCCTCCTCAGAATATAAGCTTTTTTTTTTTTTTTAAAGATTTATTTATATGAAAGGGTCTGAGAGAGAGCTCGCATACACACACAGAGGCAAAGGGAGTGAGAGAAGCAAACACTACTGAGCAGAGAGCCCAATGTGGGGCTTGATCCCAGGACCCTAAGATCATGGCTTAAAGGCAGACATTCAATTGACTAAGCCACCCAGGCGCCCAAAATACAAGCTTTATAAAAAGAATGATTGTAACTTCCTGTTTTTTTTTTTTTTTTAAGATTTTATTTAAAAAAAAATTTTGAGAGAGTGAGAGAGAACGCAGAAGCAGGGGCAGCGACAGAAGGAGAGGGAGCCCAATATGGGGCTCGATCCCAGGACTCTGGGGTCATGACCTGAGCTGAAGGCAGACACTTAACAGACTGAGCTACCCAGGTGCCCCTGATAATATCTTTCTATATCTACCTATTGATCAGTCATAACTCAATGGAAAATTTTGGGTTTTTAATCATTTTTAATAGAATTTAATGACTTCTAATAACAGGAATAATATTTTGACTCATATTTTATGTAAAATAATTTGTAATTTTTGGTAGACTCTTTCCTGCCATTGCTGCTCTTGACAGAAAATACATACTAACATTTCCTTAAACCTTTGCTCTATTTTTCTACCTAAATTAGTATTTTGTGTTTCTACCTAAATTGGTAATGACTTTCTACAAATTGTTGCCTGACTCAACTTTTTTAAGATGGGCCTTATGCTACTTGTGAAGGCGAACAATGACAACCTTCCATTTTTTTACTAACCTCTTCTTCATTTTTTTCCCATGAAGGTGGTATCCATTGATATACTGATACTTTGGGAAAATTTTTCCAGCTACAGTATTTAAAATTGCTTGGTTGGGCCACCTGGGTGGTACAGTTGGGTAAGCATCCAGCTCTTGTTTTTGCTCAGGTGGTGGTCTCAGGGTGATGGGATCTGTCTGCAGCATCAGGCTCTGCACTCCTCATGGTGTTTGCTTGGGATTCTCTCTCCCTCCCCTCTGCCCCTCCTTCCCATGCTCTCACTTGCTCTCTCAAATAAATAAATACATAAAAATAAAATGAAATGAAATTGCTTGTTGTGGCCAAATGCATTTGGTCTTCTATAACTATGTTTCTGCTTTAAAAGCCTAGTATGACTTTTCATTTTCAGATATAAATTCTTCCTATAGGCCATTGAAAATTAGCTGAATAATTCAAATTCAGCTATTTTATATATATATATATATATATATATATATATTTATTTATTTATTTTTAAGGATTTTATTTATTCATATGAGAGAGAGAGAGAGAGAGGGAGGGAGAGGCAGAGACTTAGGCATAGGGAGAAGGAGAAGCAGGCTCCCTTTGGGGAGCCTGATGTGGGACTCTATCCCAGGATCTCGAGATCAATGACCTGAGCTAAAGGCAGACGCTCAACAATTGAGCCATCCAGGCATCCCTACTTTGTTTTTTTTTTTTTAAGTCCTACTTTATGTTTTTTAATAGGCATCTGTTATTACAAGGTTTTTCATTCAACAGCACATAATGTGTTACTCTTCAGTAATGTGTATCAGTAGGGATAAAAAAGAAATCTTATAATAAGAACTGCCAAAGCCTATAGCTTCATTGGCTTCTGATGGGAGAAAAGGGATTGTAGTTAATAGATTGTATTTTTTTTAATTGGCAGTTGAATGGTAGATGATAGATATCTTTGATTCTGGAGGAGTATGAATAGCTTCTGTTTTGGGTTGTGACTGTTGTATAAATTAAAGTCTTGGTTAAAAAAAAAAAAGTCTTGGTTGATATCAGACCCCCCCCCCACAAAAAAAAAAAAAACCCTTAGCTACTGTTATAGCTTTCATAATTATGTGTCATAGTATCATTCTTTGTTTCATTATATATACTTGATATTTATGAAAAGTAAAGACCAATAAGGAGTGTATCCTACCCTTCTTTTATCTTTTTCAGCTACTTCTTACAACTCAGTTTCCATTTAAACTAAGTGAAAAAGTGTTACAGATTCTGACCAACATATTTTTGTATCATGATTTCTCAATTCAAAACTTTATAAAAGGACTTCAGGTAAGAAGACAGTAATGGGTATGAAAATTTATAAGCTAATTCTAAATAATTTTAATTTTATTTAATTTTAAATAATAAGCATATTTAAACTATTTAATGTGGTAAGGCATTTTAAATGGCAAAATCTAAAATAAGTAAATTCAAGTTCTATTATTCTAGGTTCTATCAATCCTTTGTTACCTTGCAGCAAAATGTAGAGAGTATGTTAATTAGGATGTCAAAAATGAAAAAATACACCCCATTGCCCCCTGCATTCCAGTGATTCTTAACTATTTGTGGGTAGGGAGGAAGGGACTTTTTTTTTCTGTGAAATTCTGATGAAAGCTTACAGACTTTCTACCTAAGAAATGCTATATAAAAGGGATCATTAAACTTTCTGTAAAGGATCAGATATTAAATTAAATGTTTTTGGCTTTGCATGCTACAACTCTGTTGCATAATCTTTTTCTTCTTTTTAAATAACCAGTTAATATGAAAAACATTTGTAGTTCCTGGGCCATATAAAAATAGTCATATATGTATGTTTATTCATTTATATTCGTATATATTGGGAATACATTTTTACTAAGGTTTCATGAATTGCCAGAAGAAAATTCATGAACTCAGCTTCATAACATCTGTTCTAATCTAAAAAAAAAATACCCCATTCTCCAGTTATTTAAGTAAATATTATTTCCTCCTCTTGGCAGCTACCTAAAATACTTGAGCAAAGTGTAATCATTGTAAATATACACCAATTGTCAAGTTCCCTAAAACCAATATATTAGTAACCTTTCGTACAAAAGTGTAATACCTCACATTTGTGTAGTGACTCAGAGTATATAAATTATTTCTCATATGTATTTTTCCTCAATATAAAACTGGAGTGCTCTCTTATGGCTAATATGTATCTTTTTTTTTTTTCAATTTGGCTTTTTTTTTTTTTTTTAAGGTTTATCTATGAAAGAGAGTGTGTGTGTGCAAGCAGGGGGAGGGGCAAAGGGAGAGAGAGACAAGTAGACTCCTTGCTTAGAAGGGAGCCCGATGACATGGGGCTTGATCCCAGGACCCTGAGATAATGACTTGAGCCAAAATCAAAGGTTGGACACTTAACTCCAGGTGCCCCTCAACCTGACTTTTTAAAAAGAGTATTTTAAAGCAGCAAGATATTTACCTTAACATGTGAAATTAAATGATAATTGATACACATGTCTAATTTGTCTTTCTCCTACATTTTATTTCATTCATTTATTTACTCAAAAGTATTTATCAAGAGCCTACTATAAGCCAAGAACTATGTTGAGCCCTGGAGATAGAGGACAAGGAAATCTCTGCCTTCAGATTGCTCATTTGTTAAGTGAAGGAGGCAGAATTACTCATAATTAGAGTTCTCAATAGTCAATGCTGTGAAAGAAACATGCCTGGGGATTTCATAGAAGAACAGAAGTGTAGCCTACGGAATAGGGGCTCACCAGGTTAGAATGAAAGGTACATTCTAGGTAAAGGCAACAGTAGAAGGAGAGAGATCTGTTTGAGGACTACTGCAGTTTTCTAGACAAGATAACCTAAGGTAGTGATAGTGGAACCAGAGAGAAAACAGATTTGGGAATGAGATAGAATCAACAGAACCTGGTAGACTAAGTAAGTGGATGATAGGACGTGTAAGAGAAGAGCATAGGTGACACACTCACAGGTTCTAGCTTGGCAAGTGGATTGGAGGCGGTACCGTTTATTAAGTAAATGTGTTAATATAAAGGAGCCAGTTAGGAAAAGATGAGTTTCTCTTTGTAAATGGTTAATTGCAAGTATGTTGGATATAAAGATTTGGCACTAAGGAGAAAGATCTGGAAAAAAATAGAAATATTTAGGATTTATAATTAAAAGGTGGTAGGTGAAGTCGCGTAATGAGGTTGGCATTACCCAGAGGAATGAAGAAAGGACTAGGATTAGAACCTGATGGCAAGGGAACCCTGGGTGGTGCAGCGGTTTAGCGCCTGCCTTTGACCCAGGGAGCGATCCTGGAGACCCGGGACCGAATCCCACGTCAGGCTCCCAGTGCATGGAGCCTGCTTCTCCCTCTGCCTATGTCTCTGCCTCTCTCTCTCTCTCTCTCTCTCTCTCTGTGTGACTATCATAAATAAATAAAAATTTAAAAAAAATAATAAAAAAAAAAAAGAACCTGATGGCAAGCTGTTGACAGCAATACAAAAAGAGACTAAATAAAGAAAACCAATAGAGTAACACTGAAGTCAAGAGAAGAAAGAGTTTGGAAAATACAAACTGTAGTTTGCAAAGAAAAGGACATTAACCAAATTATGTACTCTCTCTGGGTCTCAGTTTTCTCATTTGTAAAATAGGAGATCACATTAGATGATTTTATAGGTTCCTCATAATTTACGGAGCACCTCCTCTATGCTAGGCATGTTACTAAGTATTTACATTGTTTCATTTATTAATGAATAAATACCTATTGGTACTATTATCCTCAGTTCCTCAGGTGAAGAAACAGGCTTTGGTACAGTAGGTTGGCCAAGGTCGCACAGCTAATAAATGGTAGAGCCATTAATACCCCCTTTGGCCAGTTTTTTAAATCTCGGGTGGGAAATATGTGTAAGTCCTGATTCCTATAGGAGTTACAGTAGGGCATATAATCATTCTGTATATGTTTAAGTGTTTCCTTCATCAGATGAATATGTTAACCAACTTTTAGTTGACCCAGATTTTGAGAACACATTTGGACAAATAAAGTAATACTGGATACTTATTACTTAACAACTCTACTAATAACTCCTGTGACTTCTTCCCATTCCTCTTTCCAAGCAAGTCTCTTATCCTATTTGTTTTTTTACTTTTCTCATGTTTAAAAAGTGATGTTAACACTGGAGTAAATATTGTCACAATATAATTGGAAAATATAAGAAATGAGATTTTTGTTAATACGTGCAAAAATGAGCACTTGGTCTGAATAGTTACTTTCTATTTTGTATTTGTTTCTAAGGCTGGCCCTTTGCCTTACAGCCTTAAACTTCCTCCAGAATGAACTATTTTGGAGGATTTCCTCTAACCTTGGGTATTTGGTCCTCAGTTCTATAGGCTCAGAAATTTATTATAGGTTTACCCAGGAAGCTCAAATCAAGCTCAAATACCTTAATACTGATGTATAAGTCAGCATGTTTATTAATTTGTGATGGGAAATTCTATTTTCCATTCCAAGAATGAATTTGTCCAATATTTAGGAAGCTGTCTCTCCAGTATTAGCTTATCTGGAGAAACCAAATTGGTCTTGAGAAAGTTGCTTTGAGTTAGTTTTTAACATTTGGATAGTCTTGTGAGATACATCTTATGAGTTTTGGTAGAATATGGAAAATCATTCCACTTTATACTGTGGAGACCACAGCATTCTAGTTACTATAACACTTAAAATTCACCAGACACTGTACCATTTTTTTCTCATGAAATAAAACTCAGTTAAAAAATATATTTTCTTTAACAATCCCTCATTTTTCATTATTATTTTTTATCAGTAGGCAAAGCTTCTACCATTGTAACATTTTTATTTAATCAGCAAACTATATTTTTTTCACTGATTTTAAATGGGTGCTTTCTTGTTAGTATTTGGGAATCTATTAGACTCTGAGGTCACGTCCCAGTCCCACAGTATTTACTGTTATTGTGAGTTGCTTCTGCAGAGAGCTAGTCTATCCATTTATATGTTTCTTCTGGTTTATACTTTACAGATTACAATTTTCTGACCTTGTCCACAAAATCACTCTTAAAATATTAAAGATATAGAACCATTTATGCATTGTTTGCAGTGTTATTGTGATTATTACATACTTTTACTGTTTAAAGAAAAACGAAACCTTAAAATTAGGCATAGGGCAGAAAATTTACTGCCTAACTAAAACAAATATATTTAATCTTCACATTTTTTTTCCAATCTTCCCATTTCTCTCAGCTTTCTCTGTTAGAACATTTCTACTCCCAGCCCCTCAGTGTTCTGTGCTGTAACCTCCCAGAAGCCAAGAGAAGAATAAATTTTTTATCAGATAATCAATGTGAAAACATCCGACGTCTTCCATCTTTTAGAAGGTAAAAAGAGAAGTGCATGTTTAACACATCTTATAATAGAGGTTGGAGTAAAATAAAGGATCTCAGACCTAGCTATTTTTGAAGTGGAGAAAGGAAAAATAACCTTTTTATTTAGAGCATAGTAAAATCCCGTTTTCAATCATGAGATTTTGTTGGACTTGAAAATTTAACATAAAGAAAAATATTTTTATAAAGGGACATAATTTGCAGATTCTCCAGAATTACTTTTATAAATAACATTTCCTGATTCTGGAGCTTATGGCTTTTGTTTATGATTAGATCCCTAGATTATGAAGTATAGCTGATTTAATGAGTTAAAAATTAGCATTAAACCATAACTATTATCTTGAATTTATTTTTGAGAAGAAGTAGAAGAATGTGAGCACCAATCTAAGTAGTTCTTTTCCTCATATGATATTCAAATCTTTAGAATGTTTAATTTTTTTCTCTTTGTGTATGGGATGGTGAAAATTTTAGGTACGTGGAAAAGCAAGCTTCAGAAAAGCAAGTTGCATTATTGACCAATGAGAGATTTTTGAAGGTAGGAATGTGGATGTATTTGTTTCAGTTTTATTCTTTTTTCTTCATGAGAAAAATATGCACATCGTGTTTATTCAGTGGATTTATAAAACATATCTGTCCATCCTAATATGCTTTTCACAGTCCGTTAGTGGGTCTTAATAATCATATGGGAATGTGACTTGAAGGTGACACAAAACTTTAGTTCCAAAAGATGACCTTTTTTATTGAGAAAGTGTTAACTACGATTTATCCTATGGTGTATTTTGAAAATACTTTGGATCTCAACTTCATTTCCACACAGCATTTTTGGAATCTGCAGGCAGTCTCATTTTAATGTTCTTTTAAAGGCTGTCATAAATAAGGGCACAAAGAAGCCATGCAGCTTAAGGACCGACTGCTAAGTGGGTATTGATTTCATTTGAAAAAATATCAGTACATATTGATTATGCAATGCCAGGAAAGAAGTAATGAGCTTAGAAAATTAAGAGTTAGCAATACAACATAGGGAATATCAAAGGAAGGTTTTTTTTTTTTTCTTAAATAAATGATACTTGGACATGGTATGTAATTCAAAAGGCAAAAATAATATACAGTGAAAACACTCTCACACCTTTACCTTCCACCCACTTTCCCTTTCTAGATACAGTTAGTGTTACTGGTTTCTTATGCATCATTCTAGAAATATTCTTCATGTATGCAAGTCATTTCACATAATGTAGGATTTTCCTATCTTAACAGAAGATAGGTATATACGCTGGTCTACATATTGTTTTGTTTTGCACTCAATCTTGGAAACCATTCCATATCAGTATTGAGAGTGATACAGTGCTTTATGGAATGAATGGACCTTCATTTTACTTAATAAGTCCCTTAATAAGGACCGACAACTAGAAATGCATAGTGTTACACTTGTTTTCAGGCTCTTCATGCCTTTTTTAAGGAAAAAGTTGTTAGAAAATTATAATAAAATTAAGATGAGATTGAAATAGCCTTAGTACTATGTGTAGGTTTTGCTGATACATGCTATTTTCAAATTTTGAATGAAAGAGTGTTAGTCCCTAGAGGGCATGTGTGCTATATAGCTCTGAATACTAATTTGCCTCCTTTTTGTAAATTCTCAAAAATATTTAGAATGGCTTTTTTATTTTAAAAAAAAAGGTATAATTGACATACAATATGATAGTGAACAATGGCTTTTGTTAAATGGTATTTTTTATTTTTTATTTTTTATTATTATTTTTTTAAATGGTATTTCTAATGCAGGATCTACACTGGGCCATAATATAAAATCACTTCTAAACTAGGTTTAATAATTACTTTAGTAATCTCTATGACCTTTTTAGAGCAGTATAAGAAGTGTTCAGATCCTAACGCAAGTTGTTTTGGTAGAATGGAACTTTAAGGACCAGTGGAAAGGGATGTGTGCATGTTTACTGAGTTAAGATTAGATGGATTAGCTCTCTGCTGAGCAGCTAGTTGCCAAGTGCATTTCCTGTTAGAGTATATTTTTTAGAAGCTAGGAATAGCTTTTTAAAAGTACCTCTAACCAGTGAGATGACAAAGAGAATCTCTAGGCTGGTCTATTACAGAAAGAGCTTGACATTGATCTTTGCTTCTTAGTAACTTTTCATGTGTTTTTCGAGCATTTATTTATACTATACTTGTTCCTGTTGCACTTATCAGCCCCATTTATTATTATCTTTGCTGTATTCATTTGAGGAATGCATTCTTTGTTATTTAAAGGCATATTTTCTTGAGACTTTACATAGTGAGAAATGTGAAGGTGCACAAGGATCCTTACCCTAAAAAAGTTATGTATCCTTACCCTAAAAAAGTTATGTACAGGTTACCTGCTAAATTCAAAGGACAGAAGACATCTATGAAAAATTAGTCAATATGTGTGTTGATTTTTATTATTTAGAGTGAAAATATCTTTGTATAAATTATTCTTATTATAGTGCTTTTTCTTTTTATAGTTTTTTAAAAGCATAATCAATTTTTATATGTATTTTACCACAGTAAAAGAAATTAGAAAGAACTCAGATGATAATATGGTACTACACAATACAAGGGAGATCCTAATTTTGATGTCAAGAATCTTGGATTTCAATTCCAGCTACTCATTAACCAGGTGTACCTTAGACAAATCATTCATCCTATTTAAACCTCAATTTCCTTATCTATAAAATGGGACAGTACTTCCTAGCATGATTTTCTTATAGGGTTAATAATAAAGTCTGTTCAGCAAATGAGTATACAATAAAACTTTTATATATACAATAAAACTTTTATAAATCTAAATCATAAGTATTCTTATTTTTCACAATGATGAAAGTTAAGATCAATATGAATACATAATTTTATGTATTATATATTCTGTATCATACATACTATGTATAATACTCATGTTGCATAGTTATATGGATTATGTAGTTATATTTATATATACATGCCAACTGGTAGAATTTGTCACTTTGTATCCATTTTCTATACTCAGAGTTTGAAGACCTAGACCTCTAAGTATACTCTAGAGAAATTTATACTCTTTATATCCAGATTCTTTCTGCTCTGAAAATCTATTTTGCTTTCTACCCTGTTGAACTAAACCAGTGGTTCTCAAACTTTAACATATATCAGAATCACTTGGAGGGCTTGTTAAAACATTGATTTCTGGCCTCCATTCCCAGAGCTTTTGTAGCTCATAGGTGGGGCTTAAGAATTTGTGTTTCCTTCAAGGTCCCAGGTCATGCTGATGCTCCCGGGCTGAAGATCATTTTTTTAAATTAATTAATTAATTTATTTATTCATGAAAGACACAGAGTGAAAGACAGAGGCAGAGACACAGGCAGAGGGAGAAGCAGGCTTCATGCAGGGAGCACGATGTGGGACTGAATTCCAGATCCTGGGATCACGACCTGAACCAAAGACAGGTGCCCAACCGCTGAGCCACCCAGGCATCCCTGAAGATCATCTTTGAGAACCACTTGAACTGGATTGATTCCTTGGAGGAAATGTTTATTGTTTCCCCTACCTTCTTTTCTTAAATTTAGAACTAACCTAAATTCTCACTTAAATGACTCATCTCAGTTATTCTGACTGGACTCAAAATGTTTAAAAAACAAAAAAACCTGTGACTCCTTTAGAATTATAGATGCTCAGTTTCATAGTTAGTAGCTTTTAAACGATATGGCAGCTTCATATTTCATAAAATTCATGAGTTTTTTAGAGTGTCTTTAAAATTTAAAAATTCAGCTGACTAACCAATAATACCTTTGTAGAAGATTCTTCAGGAAGTTCAACTAAGGCACAACATTAGAAGGCCATATATAGCTGACAGAAGACTAAAGATTCTGTGCATCCTTTCATTTCTGAGTAGTCTGTCTCATGAATGATTGATTGTGCAGTGCAGCTGGGTACACTGGCCAAAAAGTATATTCTGACAGTTAACAAGTTTTCCTACATGTAAGCTGAATAGAATAGGCTTGCACAAGCTCCTATTAATGCAAAACTTCTGATGACTCATTAGCTTTTGAATCCTGTGGTAGAAGTTTAACAAGATAGTCTTTAAGTTTCTTTTGGCTCTAAAATATTATGATTTTATTTACTTGTTCATTAAAGAGATTAGTAGTAATTTTTTCTGCCTAGTTAAAATATTTAGATTCCTCATTAAAATTTTAGTGCATTTGTTTAATTGAAGATAGGTAAATTATTAACTCTGGGTTTTAGGTGAAATAGAAGAAGTTACTGTATTTTTACCATGTTTGTGCCTCATAGTGTTGCTTTAGTAATCAAGCTGTTTTTTAACTTAAACCTTTAACTTAACAAACAACAGTTCATGAGAAATTAAGCTGTCAGAATGCCTTAAACAGAACTTTCAAATTCTTCATAATTACAAAGATATGATATTTATTATTGCTTGTGCCTGAAGTTTTGTTTCAAGTCCAGTATTAAGGAAAGCTTTGAGGAAGATTGTGGCTTCATATCATATTTTCATAACTATTATCTGATAATAAAAAACACTAGGCCTTGAAATACTGGAACCATTTTTTGAATAGTGAGAAATTCTTTTTCTTTCGATGAACAAATGTTTTGGGGGAATGGAATATTAACAGCTTTTCCCAATTAGTAGATAGTTTTAATGCATTGTTTCATTTTGAATCACAGCCACTGCATACGGCAGATGTTTTTATCCCTTTGTATAGATGAGGAGAGTCACAAAAATGAGTAAGTAACTTGCCCATCTAAAGTGTCACAAATAGCAAATGGAAGATGTGGCATTAATACCCAGGCCTGACATGAAAGCTCACACGTTTTCTGTGATACTTCTTGAAGAATCAGTATAAGTTGGTGAGTTGGTGAGAAGGTGCCTAAGATTCTATATTAGTGTTTGAGAAATTGCAAATGTGCTTTTCAAATACTGTAGCAAATTAACAGTAAGGATAATTTATAGGAGGCTTAGAAAACCACTTGGTGTGAGGCAGCTTTGCCCATTATAGTTTAATAGGTGTCATGCAGCAGTACATTCTGCTGCTCAAAGAAAGGGAAACATTCCCCTTCTCCCTACCAAATATATATAGTTGTATATTTTATACAAGTGTGTATATATATACCAATATCATTTACATCGACACACACACACACACACACACACATATACTCTTTATTTTCAAAAGACTTTTTTTAAAAAGCAAGTCTTCACACCATAGCTAGGAATAGATCCATTTTAATCCTGTGCTGTGAACACCAACCACACCCTCTATATTACTAGTAATGATTTGCTATTGATGTTAATCCTGTTCTGTCAAAAAGTTACATTATGCTCAGTATATTTAATAAATGACTAATTCCATGTATTTCACATAAAATCAAGTATATTTTTATTCAAATTTTCCTTAAAGCTATTTGGCTTGACTTCAACCCTTAAAGAGTTCAACTTTATGCTATGTAGAAAACTTAGATTCAATCCCTTGTCAGTGACAGTTGAAGCTTTATTATTCTGACTTATTAATATTTTATGTCTCTATTCCCTATGTACCCAGCTAGATTTTAAATCAGTTGAGGTAGGAAGCAAGTCTTGGACTTCTTAGAATTGTAATATATACCTATTAGAATGATAACCTTATTCAGTATACTTATTTTACAAGTGAAGAACTGCAGCCAAGAGAGGAAGTAAACTATCTCTAAGGTCACAGAGCAAGTTAGAGGTAGAGCAAGGAATTCTTTTCACCATTTAGTAAGTTTTTCATGGTGATTCATGATCAAAAGGCACAATTAGATCACGAGTTTGGTAGAAACCTGCTTTTCACTTTTGCCTCTACCTCTTCATTCTGCTTCTTTTGATCTAAGAGCAGGAGGAGGGAAAAATCCATTAGAAAAAAATAATAAAAGTAAATGAGAAGGAAGAAAATGACTGCAAAACAAATTACTTCATATAATCAGATGAGTGAGACATTAGCCCAGTAGTGTGGTGGGAAGTGGCAGCTCAAATCCAAACCCTTCATCAAGTGCTACTGAACAGGGGGAACAAAGGGTTGAGACAGATGAGAGGACAAGCACTCGTGCCACACCAAAGCTGGGAGACAGTTGTGGTTTGGCACTCTATTGGGTAGCTGTCACATGATGAGACTGAGAATCAAACACTGTCAGCCAAAATTTCTCTAATGAAAAAAATGCTTAGTTCTAGCAAGATGATAACTGAGAAAATGCTGTGTTCTTGGCCAGCTGATACGTCTTATTCCTAAAATCCAGTATCTATTTTGCCAGCAGTTGAATTGATTGAAAGGAACAAATAAAAATTTGCAGCCATTTTTACATACTTTCTTTAAGTCTTCTTGGGGTCATTCTTCACCCTATAACTAAAACCTGGACACAGAAGTGATAAAGACTATGGAAATTAGAAGAGGATTGCAAAAACTAAGCATCATGGCAAATATAATTTTATCTGATCATATTTTCTTAACCTATTTATATTTAAGTTTACATAGCCGTTGATTTCCTCTCCAAAAAAACATAACCAGCTCAGTAACAATAGAGGCTTTGTCATATTAGTAAACAATAATACATGAATGATTTTGATTGAATGGCAGACAGGATTGATGTGTTTGGAGAGGGTTGATTTAAAAGGTTGTTTAGTAATACATTGTTTTATATATATATATGTAAAACGTATAGAAATACATTGACTGGCAACTCACAGCCTGATGTTAATGTGGGGTTTTTTTAGGTCCATGGTGTTTTTTTAAAAACCCAAGCCAATGTTTACTAATTGAGACATTTTACATTACAAATTCAAACTTTCATCTTTTGTTGAAAAATTAGTAAATCTGACCCACATCCAGCAAGATGACAAGTGATTGCTCTTATTTAGAAGGGAGACTGAGGGTTGTCCTCCATTCATTAATGCACTTCCTCACTCAACAAAGTTTTTGAGTGTTTTCTGTGTGCCAGGTGTTAATCTAGGTGCTGAGAATACAGGAACCTGGGATCGAGTCCCACGTCGGGCTCCCTGCATGAAGCCTGCTTCTCCCTCTGCCTGGGTCTCTGCCTCTCTCTCTCTGTCTCTCATGAATAAATAAGGAATGAACAAAAGTGACAAAAACCTCTACCTTCATGGAGCTTACATGCTATCGAGATAGATGGATAAAATATGTGTTAGTGATCATTGCTAAGGAGAAAACAATGAAGGAGATAGAAGGAATATGAAGTTTAGTGTACATGGGGAGTTGGATTGACATTTTAAAGAAGGACCTTACTAATAAGCAGGTGGATTTTGAATAAAGAGTAAAGGAAGTTACAGAGCTTGCCATGCAGAAATCTGGAGGAAGGAAATTCCAAAGAGAGAGATGGCAAGTGGAAAGGACCTAAGGTTGGAGTGTGTGTGGATGTTTGAGGAGAAGCAATGGGTATTTGAGTATTTGATAGAGAAATCTCTTTCTGTTTGTGTCTCTTTATCAAAGATTAGGAAAGATCACAAGGTCTTCATGTTTCAAGAATACAAGAAAGCGTATCTCTTTGGGAAATAATATTACTAGGCAAAATATAGCTCTGTTGAGAAGAATCATCTTAAACACAATTATGAAATGAAACAGTGGCAGCTATGACCAGTGTATAGCAATGATGCCAGAAGAAAAATTTAACAAATGGAAAATAGAATTACTATTTCAAAAGGTTTTGTTTTTACATATGCAGAATGTGATCTGTAGTAATGTATCAAGTAGAGAATTTTCTCTGCGTCAAAACCTATAAACGTATTCATAAAGTGTATCAAGAATTATTGATCTGGATAGGTGGTAGAGGGGCATTGGCAGATACGTATCTCAGTAAGAAAGAATTTAGAGAATAGGTTACATGAAGAAAGTTAATCATTTGTGATGTTTTCTGCTGCAGCTGAGAAGAACCAGATATAAACAACAGTGAAATCTCTTTCCAAAGTCAGCGCATAAGACAAAAGTGTGGGATGGTGAAAATAACTCTTGAAAATCCCTTAGAAGGGTATAACACATCGCCTCTCATGAAGTCCAATATAGTCGGTTTTATTTCCAATGTTGAAACCAGAACTCCCATTTCCTCAGTTGAGCATCAGATGAAATAGTTTCCTATGCTGTGTGAACAAAGCAAAACATGTTTTAAGCGATACAATTCCACTAGGCACAGGGATATAATCACACAGAAGTATAAAGGGACTGAGACCATCTGGGAGAAGATTATGTGCATAATCCTCATCTCACCCTTACCCAAGGCATAGTTCCTGGAATGTAACATTGCCCACGAAGTGTTACTTCTTTTTTCTCCTTATCTGAGTAAATTCAGTTCTGTTTCACCCATTATTTGTAGATGCAGTTACTCTACAAAGCAAAAGTAATAGGTGGTGCAAGAAGTGTGAGGTATGATTATTATTCAATGTTGGATTCCTTTCTCTCCAGAATATTTTCTTTATTTAAAAGCTTTAGCTTTAGGCATACATTAAGGCAAACAATTAGTGGCTTTATGCACTTTCTGTGTTATAACCTATTGTAAAATTAGAATTAAAATTACTTTCCCAGTGGTGGTTAAAGTACCCTTTGTTGTGATAGGAGACCTAGATTTTTGAAATTGCCAACTAAAATACTGGGAGGAAAAACATTTTGATACTAAAAGGTTTTCCTTCATTTGCCCTGTGCTTTCAGGTAATAACATGTAGATCACTAATGAAGGAACTGATTTCTAAGTGTTTAGGAAAATATATCAGATTTGTTGTTTTGTATAGGTTAGGTTTGCTTGAATTTATTGATATCTAGGTGTTACTTTCTGTACGCTTGACTGCTAAAAATAATGGGTATCTGCAAGATACTACTGGGGTAAAAAATCAAGCCCAGCAGTTTCCTTCATTTGACTTCTTAGAGAAGAAAAAAATGTGAAGACCATGCCACAGATCATAATCCTCTTTAGAAAATGTTACAGGATGAAGCAGTTATAAAAGTATTTGAGGTCTGAAAAATACTTGGATGTTGATAGGATGTAGTGTTTTAAAGTCATTTCTAAACTATTTCAGAAGGTTCTAGAAAACAACATCTCTATTCACTACCCCTCCCCCAATTCTTTTGAAACTGATTTATGAGATTAATCATCCCATCAGTTTCTTAAGACACTGTCTCCCATATTATACTTGTTGGGAGTCTAAATTATAAAGCTTGATGGCTTCAGATTTTTTTCTTAATGGTAAGCTAAATAAAACCAGTATTGGGATTCTCAACAAAAGGCAAGGATTTATCAGTCACCTGTGGTGTTTCTTCTATAGTTTTTCTTCCCTTTGAAAAACAGTTCTACTAGTACTTTAAGAGAAGCATAGGCCATAAGTGGAATCTCAGTCACTGTGAATTATGTTTGTAGTGGGCTCCCTGGTGACCTCCTCACCTTTCTTTCTGATGCCAGCGAGGTAGAAGGTAGTGGGCCTGCCTTGCTATGGCATACATCAGGTGACTGGCACAGGGAGGTATCCAGTAAGGTGCGTTTTGGGGAGCCCAGTTATCATGGCAATGGTACAGGTAGAAGGAAACTACAGTATTAACTTTGGTATGTGTAAGATATCACCAGACTTGCTACTCAATCAAAGATGCCCAGCTTTTATCCTAGATTTTGTGTGTGCATTACTAATTCTCAAAATTTGAGGAGGTTAATTTATAATTCTGAATCTTCTCTCATCAGTTTTCCAGGAATTAATAACATGTTCATGAAGTAGACTCTATTCTTTTAATTACTAACTTATGTATTTTTAATGTATTCTCTGATTTTTAGGAGGAAATGAAATCATTACTAGAAAACTTACATGTTTACCATTCAAATTACTTCCTGGTTTTGAGATGTCTTCATCAGTTCGCTTCTTCTCTTCCCAAGTACCCATTGGGTCGACAGGTAACCAAAACTTCCTCATTTGGAATCTCTGCAGTAGGAAGATTAGTAGTTTCTTGCTTTGATTTCAGCAGCATTCAGGCATCAAAATTGAAATGGATCCAAATCGTGCACTGAGTGCACAGTCTAAATCCATTCCAGCTGTACACATTACTGGTAATTGAAACCGTATTTTTTGTTCTGATGGCCACAACTAGAAGCAGCCACATGAATCCTGGTGGTATTGCTTCCCCTGCAATGTTATTTGTCCTAAGGCATTTTAACTTTTTTTCTTTCACACTTCCTTGTCACGTATGCCGAGAGAGCTGATCCCTCACCTTATCAAAATGGAAAAAAGAATCTATTTGAGAATGCTTAATGGTTAACCTTGCATTACACAAAAAACTAAAAGGGAGGCAGCATTTCTGTGCTTGCAAAATTATGCCCCACTGGCCTTTGTGTCATACTGGAAACCTGTGAACCATCTGGGGAGTGGATGTTAGTAGAGTAATTCTGTATTCCTAAATCTTTGGGTTCTTAACTCAGAGGTTTAGAGACAAATGTAAATACATGTGAATGATTTGTTTAAAGATGATTTCTACCATTAAGCATTCTTTTTAATAATCACATATCATTTTTATTTTATTACTTATTGCAATGTGATCAGTGGTATCAGTCAATCCCAATATAGTCTCATTTTGCTTTTATGTAAATGGTATTCTTATAAAGCCTGTGTGATGCATGCCCAGTCTGTAGTCCTCTAAAGATAATGGTTGCTTTTAATAAGATTTATTTTTTTGTCTTGACCATTGATGATACTTTGACAAACAAGTAGTGTATAACTTAATACATCACTTTTGGTTTCTCACAAATACACTTTTTACTTACAGATCAGAGAGCTGTACTGCACTTGTTTAGAAAAGAACATATGGGATTCAGAGGAGTATGTGTCAGCCTTGCAGCTGCTGAGGTAGTTTGGTTTGTTTTCTTTTTTGTCCGCTGTAAGCCTGCCAATAAGTAACACCCTCCTCCAGAAGTCTGCCTGCAAGAGTTTTCAGAAGTAGCCATGTTGTGTCTAATATCTGTATATATATATTGAATTTATGTTTGTGTTTTTAATATAGCAACCATCCATTTCTTTGCTAGTTTTACCTTGTTTATGAACTTGTGATTTTTTTTTAAAGTAAAATAAGTGTTTTTAGTCAAATATTGACACTACCTGAGGAGAACAATTTAGGTTAGGTATGGGTTATTATTATTATTTTTTCATTATTTATTTTAGAGAGGGAGAGAGAGTGTGCGGGGGGTGGAGGTGGTGATATATGAAGGTGAAGGAGGGGTAGAGAGAGAATCTTAAACAAAGACTCCACACTGAGCATGGAGCCTGACATGGGTCTTGTCTCACAACCTGGAGGTCATTACCTGAGCCGAAACCAAGAGTAGGACGCTTAACCAACTGCACTACCTAGGTGCCCTATGTATGGATGATTTTAATCTTGTCAGCTTGATGTCATGGCAGGGAAAGTAGTCATGGAAAGTGAGCTTGCCATGGCCCCAACCAGAATAGGTGGAGGAGCAGTATCACTTGATGAAATGCATCCTATGAAGGAGGCCACTGCTGAACTTGATGAGGAGCAATGATGAGCAAGCAGTGGCCAGCCCTGTCTGCATGAACACTGGATATCATAAGTTTATTTACTTAATGTTATATGAATAAATAAGTTATCTTGGTGTTATTATCAGATTTCAGAGATTGCTTACCACCCTGACAAATTTGCCTTTTAAAGTTATAATCCTTTGTTTTTCTTGGCTTTACCTCTCATATATATGGTGACTTTTTAGTCTAACAAAATAATGACCACTTGGATAATGGGAAAAGGGAAATCAAATGTGAGTCAAGTTTCTGCACATAGACTTATTTTCCTCCGTGAATATAAATGTGTATATGAAAATATCATTAAAAAAAAGTCTGAGAACTGAATATTTATTAAGTCTTGGCTTCCTCTGGGCCCACAAGAAAAGAACAGATGGGCACAGTAGGAGGAAAATTCACATTGAAAGCACTTTAAGTCCAGAGACTTAATAATTCAAATGTTAGTGATCTAGCAGGTGCAGCTTAAGATAGGAAACTAATTTTATGCTATCTGGAAAAATAACTCCCCATGGAAACTAGATTGCCACTGAAAAGCTATGTTTTATTTCATTTTTTTTTAATGCCAGTAAGAGATTTCTGTGTACTTCTGTATGTCAACTGAGACTTCGTTTACTTTCTATTCAAGTCAATGTGACTGCTTGAACACTCAGTTGATTCTTGCTGAGTGTCCTCTTTAATCTTTGTGATTAGTGATTGTCTTCCTTTTCTGGTTGAGTATTCTCAAATTCATAGATTCCTTTGTCAGAGAGGGCTTATTTTTTCTTTCTGTATCTTTCTGGCATTGGTAATCTTGGGGTACAGGTCAAGGATCAAGAATGCCAAATGCCAGTTCCAACTAGGGTAAGAAAACACGAGCAATAATAGTAATGGTTATAGTCATAACCACTGTTTATCAAGGCTAGCAGTGTGTTAGGCCCTTTCAGTATCTTTTCCTGTTTTTAATACACAAGCACACCTTTGTGGCCAATACTATTATCCAAACTTTACAACTCAGGATAGTGAAGCACACACAAGGCTTAGATGATTTGCCTGAGATCTCTTAGCTGTTGATGGAACCAGAATTTTAATCCAGATCTGACTTCATAGCTGTTGTACCTTCCATTATTCTTTGCTGAAATCTAAAATATGGGTTTTCAGCTCTGAGTAAAGCAGAAGGAACAAATAGAAAATGAAATTTCAGCCATCATGCTAAACTGTCAGAAACAGGAATATAATGAGCTCTAAGGATAAAAGGATATAGCAGATAGAGCAAGGAGAGGTAAGAGCCTGGGCATTACAAGAATCTGGGAATCTCTATATTGGATTTTTTTCCCTTTTGTGCAGATTAGATGTGGACAAAAAGTCAGGGTTTAGCATTCTAAGTAGGAATCATCTGAATTTAGGAAACCAGACATCACCTATCTTCAAACAGTTCAAGTCATGAGAGAAAATAAGATTAAAATGATCATTGAATGTCACTTGGGAAGAAAAACTAAGGTGCTATAGAAACATAGTCTAATAAACATTTCTAGCTTGATTTTTTTAAGTTCCTTAAAAGCAGTATTTCTTGTGAAAAATTTCTTTTTTCTGGAAACTGACATGTTTTAAACCACAGATCAACTTGATGAAATATACTGTGACCATTAAAAAGTATTTAATTCCTAGTATTTGTGTGGAACCACAAAAGAATAGTCAAAACGATCTTGAGAAAGAACACAGGGAGACATCATGCTTCTTGATTTCAAACTATATTACAAAGCTGTAGTAATCAAAAGAGTATAGTATTGACATTAAAAAAGCACACATAGATGAATGAAACAGAGAGCTCAAAAAAATTCACAGGTGGACAATTTATAACAGAGGAGGCAAGAATATATAATGGGGAAAGGACAATCTCTTCAGTAAATGATAGTGGGAAAAGTGGATTACTTTCTTACACCATTCATAAAAATCAACTCAAAATGGATTAAAGACTTGAACATAGACTTGAAACCACAAAACTAGAAGAAAACATAAACAAAGCTCCTTGACATTGATCTTGGCAATGATATTTGGGCTTTGACACCAAAAGCAAAAATAAATAAGTGGGACTATATCAAACTAAAAAGCTTCTATGCAGTAAAGGAGAAACCAATAATAAAACAAAAAGGCAGCCTATCAAAAGGGAGAAAATATTAGCAAATCATATATCTGATAAGGGATTAATATCCCAAAACATAAAGAACTTATACAACTAAATAGATTAGATCCTCGGCCCATTTTTTTAAACAGACATTTTTCCAAAGAAGACATACAGATGGCCATCAGGTACACGAAAAGATGGTTACCATCACTAATCATCAGAAATGCAAATCAAAATCACAATGATATCACTTTACACCTGTTAGGATGGCTAATACCAAAAAGATAAAAAATGACAAGTGGTGAGAAATAACTTGTACCCAGTGGGTAGAGATGTGAATTGGTGTAGTTATTATGGAAAACAGTGTGGAGATTCCTCAAAAAATTAAAAATAGAACTACCCTTTGACTAGCAGTTCCACTTCTAGGTATTTATCTGAAAGAAATGAAAATGCTAACTCAAAGAGATACCAACACTCCCATGTTTATTGCAGCATTATTCATAATAGCCAAGACTTGGAAATAAGCTAAGTATCCATCAGTGGATAAATGGATAAAGAAACACATATACACACAAAGTATTTAGCCATAAAAAAGGAAGTCCTGCCATAACACTGAACTCAGAGATACTGAGAACAGATTGGTGGTTGTCAGAGGTGGGAGGGTGGGCAAAATGGGTGAAGGTGGTCAAGAGTACAAACTCCCAGTTATAAAGAAGTACTGGAGATGTACTGTGTGCTCTGATGATTATAATTACTAACACTTACTGCATATTTGAAAGTTGCTAAGAGAATAGGTCTTAAAAGTTCTCATCATAAGAAAGAAAATTTATAACTGTGGTGATGGATGTTAACTAGATTTCTTATGGTAATGATTCCACGATATATACAAATAATCAAATCATGTACACATGAAACTAATATGTTAATTATTTCAATTTTATTTTTATTTTTTAAAAGATTTTATTTGAGAGAGTGAAAGCGTGCACCAGCAGGGGAAGGGCAGACCGAGAGGGAGAAATATACTCCCCACTGAGCAAGGAGCCCAATGCCATGCGGGGTTCCATTCCAGGACCCTGAGATCATGATCTGAGCCAAAGGCAGATGCTTAACTGACTGAACCATCCAGATGCCCCTAATTACCTCAATTTTAAAATGTATTTACAAGATGTTTATAATGGGGAAAATATCATATCTTACGAGTAGAAAAAAACTTACAGGATTTTATATCACAGTTGTTTTTTAAATGTGTGCAACAGACACTGATGTGCGTGCAGGGAGCATGCAGGTATGTCTTTATAATAAGATCGTAATTTGGCATGAGTCCATTGGTTCTGCATGTCTTCCATAAACTTTCTTTTTTCAGTCAACTCTTGAAGCATGAAGACCAAATCCCTATACAGGATATGAGTTGGTTAATTTTTCACTCAAGCATGTATCATTATATATGAATATATTTCATTTAAAATACCATTTGGGAACAGTAAGTGGTAAAAATGATGCTAACCCAGCACTGCACTAGGTGAGTACACTGGGCTTTTTGTGGTCATCTATGAAAGACCTTAAGAGGAAAAATTTATCTTTCTATTGAAGAAAATTTCTAAATAGCCATCTAGAAATCAAACACGTGACCAAAAGTTTTTTAGACTTTTGAAATTCAAAAAACCTTGCTTCCATAATAAGGTTTTAAGGGTTGCTACAAGTCAGAGACTTAAACTAACAGGAATTATGCATCAGCTGGACCTGAAGAATACTCTGATCTCATATCAGTTGCCATGGATTACTGTGGCGGTGATTCTTGAGTTGAGGGTAATGAGAAGTGTGTCTGTCGTCTTAGGGAATTTATTCTGCCCTTGTCCAATAATTGAGAATTACTCAAGGATTATCTCATTTTCTTCCAAATAAGCCAGAGGCAGAAACATTGAGTGACTTTTCTGCAGCTGACAGAGCTGGAATTTAAATCAATCTTCAAAGTCAAGTCTCTTTTTCAGCCTTATTTCAATTATTTGGGAGATAGTATAAAAAGTAATTTCTGTAGGTTTGTGGCCAGTTGTCCATGTTCAGAGCACACCACAGATATTAAAGTGAACCAACCAAGCAAGCGTCTATGGACTCAAAACCCCCATCCCACCGTGGCACAAGGCATCTTGGCCCAGGGTATAGATCTATAAATGAAAGGAACCACAGTGTCTAGTCTGCTTATCCCAAGTGTAACCGT